GTATAGAGTGCTCAAATCGGGAAAAGTAAGGCGGGATGGAGACAGGTTCTATCGCATTGTTCAGTCATAATGTTACAAATGTGTTTGCGAAAATAGCGAAAATAAAGTTATTGAAGCAAACTTACGCAAGAGTCCAGCCGAAGATCATTTTGGTCAAAAGAAGAAAAAAGTGCACATGCGAGAGGTCGGCAAAAGAGCCAGGACAAGCAGGAAGCAGCCTGGCCTTTGTATGTTTGCATGGAAGATAAATAACTGTGATGATAGCAAAGCGAGTTTCGCATAAATTCATCTCTAAATGTATATATTATGTGAAGATATCAAATGAATACTTGAGAAGTGTGCTGTGTTAAGCGGCCATGGTTACTTTGCGAAATTAAAAGTAAATAAGCACATGCGCCTCACATCATGCGAGAGAGATTGGTATTTATGTATCCAGAGCCTGGTGTTATCACATATATTAGATCCAACCAACAAAGGGATCGGGCCTGCGTCCTTGTAGAGGAGGTTACGCAGGTTTGATGGGCAAAGAGAAGTAGGATTGCAAGGTGAAATAGTGGGCACATCACACAAATAATCGTTTTGGCAATGTACAGCCGAATTGGGGTCTGTTCAAAACCTGGCTCGTACTCGAATAATGACCATTTGAAGCCTGTGTTGAGCCTATTCCGATTACATTCGGGCGGAAAAAAAAAGAAATTCTGCCTGAAGGCTGTCTAGGGCCAGGGTAGCGTTGCTAAAGTAATCTGAGTGACGGTATGCATAATATCAAAAAAGCAAACATCGAGAGTTGAGAAGTTCAATTTACTTGGTCCCGTTAGAGGGAACTGACTGATGTTGTCACAGAGGTGAGCATAGGAAACGGAGGATTTAAAAGGCGGAGATAGATCAAGCTGGCGATGAGCTGTAGTTGTAATGCCTATTACTCGAGTTCTTTCTGAGGTCTACGAGGAAGACGATGCATACAGGTTGGGGTAAATGATAAAGGCCAGAAGGGTAAACTATACAAGGCATATTGCATAAATAAAACACGAACTTACACTCGGGAACAGGCACATACACACGCACACATCACCCTCGGGCAATATACATTGGGCGTGCAATACTGAAGAAATCTAACTATCAGCTATCCACGCAATAGAATCTCCCAGTTGGATCCAGTGTTATGGAAGTGAGAGGACAAGATAATTTTCCATCGTCACAAAAGTAAGGAATTATGAAATCTCAAGTCGGATGAGGTTATGCTGGGGGTATCGTTGTATCTACAGGAAGAGTGCACATTGACGTGCGAAACTGGATGCCAAATGCACATAAATATATGCAGAAAGAGTACTGAATGGACGACCTTTCGAACTCTTTACAGTGGTCACAGCTCGGTTTCCGTAGTTCTGGCCATTCGAAGGGTAGACTGATTGACAGAGAGGCGAGCCATCTCAGAGGCGTTGGGCTGAACGGTTGTTGACGTCTGGTCCTGCGTAAAAGTCTGATATTGAGCTCGCAGTGTTACGGATGCCTTGTTGGTTTTGTTTCGTCGCCAGGCCTCCTTTGACGGGATTTCTTTTTCTTGGCGCGAATCACTCGGCTCGGGAAAGTGAGCGGGTCGATGTTGTTCCAGATTTTGCGGAACATCGTTGCTGGAGCCTCTATTAATTTCTTGCCCTGAATATGGCGTGATGTAGACCTCAGAAATGGATTGTAGACGACAGAGCATGCTACGTTTCAACTTGAAGTCGTGAAAGACAAACGAAATCGGCTGTAACTGACAGCCGGTTTTCACGTGCTCCAGAACTCTAGTGTAGACGTCGGGATGATGATGCCTCAGACTGACGCCGTGCTCTCGCAGCTGTCTTTGCAACTGAGCAAAATGGCTTTCTCGCAGCTCAGACTTCGTCTCGAAGGTGATTGCTGCTGGTGGACGTTGTGGCTTGTGCGGC